CACAATTTTTTATTTATTTCAATTAAGTAGTTGAAGGTTAATTTAATTTCAATTTCATCACTCCATACCTTCGTCTTTCCAATTTATGAAACTTGGTCAATCGATCTACTGCAATAGATCTTCTACGTCATTGTTGTGTAGCAAGACCACAATGCCATATTATAGAAATATTAAAATAAAAAACTAGCATTTACCATTTTAATATAAAGAAGTTTACATTACCCTCGTTTTACCATTTTCATTTCTAGTACGACCTAGCAACTACATGAAAACTTGGTTATGATATGACCATCAATTTTTGTCATTTGAAACACAGACCGACATTATTTAATAGCATAGTCAACTTTGAAACTTAATTGAAGTTTAGTAATCTAATTGAGACAAATTAAAAGTTAATGACCCGAGACAATTTAGAAGTTAGTGAACCAAATGAAATTTTCCTTAAAACAGTCTCCCCCAAATTTGACGGAGAAATATCTCAATAGGTAATGAATTTGACAATTTTGCTTAAAGATTGTGAAAGCCCATACAATTAAATGTTCAACTTTTTCATGTCTAGAATCTAGATGGGGGTCTCTGAGTCGAAATATAGGAATCAATCAATCTTAAAAAAAAAAAGGTTAAACCCCAACCTTAAGGGTCCTCCACCGTCCCTGCCCTGTAGCATCGCGAGGGAGGTAAATCGTAGGTTATGCCTCCAAGGGTACATGGTGAAAGGCTGCTTGTACACTTGCACTTATCCAAAAGCCAAATCCATATTTCAGGATTCGAACCCTTGACGCGGCGGCCTCAAGCAAAGCTGGATTTCTCCACCATCTCCTTTTACCACTTGGAGATATGCCCTGGGGACAGGAATCAATCAATCTTAATTGCAGGTTAATTGGTCAAAGCTGTTATTACTTAACCCCACAGTTGCTTAGAGTAAACAATAGTAATGATACATCTATTTAGCATATCTATTTATTTTGAAATTTATCACAAACTTATCTACCAATTAATTGATGTGCATCTCATTGTATCTCAGCATTAACTAAACAATCGTGCTTAGTAGATCGTTTAAGATAATACTAACACTTCATCTTAATACTTAATTACCTATTTATATTTATCACTTGAGGGAATAACATGTAATTATTTATTAATATTTATCATTGGAGCTGGAATAACGTAATTAATTTAATTTTTATATTGGCCTTGAAAAGTACCTAGCGAGGGATAATTTAGCTTGATCAAATTAGGCGCATGTTTGTATTCCATTAAAAAGAGGTTTTTTTTTTTTTTTTTTTTTGGAAAAATAAGTTTTGGAATAGTTATTTTTTGAAGATGTGTGGTTATAAATTAGGAAATGATTTTGGGTTTAAGTGCAAAATATTTTATTGTGTAAATGTATGATTAAAAATAAATTCAGAAAAAAAAAAGGAGTCTTGATTTAATGAAAAATAAACAAGTGCTAGACGTTATAGGTTGCTGCTGATATAGCACACAAAAAGTAAACCTTTTTTATGCACTCAATTACTTGTTTTTATTGACCTAGAAAATACATAGGACTATTATCAACATGTCTTTAATCACACTTTTAGTCAACTTGTATTATTAGCAAGTTGGCTGCTGGCACTCTGATGATGGTCGATACAAAGTAATATTTTTGTTTAGGTCTGGGAGAGAAAGCCAGCAAAGATTTGACTAAAGTTTAGACAATAAGTTCCTTTACGTGTGCATATGTATGTTGGGAAAAAAAAAACAAAAAAAAAAAAAGGAAAATTGGTTTAGTGTAAAACTGGAAAAATGAAAAGATGTGACTTCGTGTCAATTTCGGCCAAATATTCGGATTTGATCCGATGGTCAAATTATAAAAGTAAATAGACCAACTTATTCTACTCTTCGAGTAGATCGTCATGGTACATTTGGAATCTTGAAACCAATTTCTAATGACTAAGAAATTACGGTCCAAAGTTGGAAGGAATGAAGTGTTGCAACTTTTCGAAAGGATGCAGGTTTTGACCCACACTACTTCATTGGCACCCTTTCTACATCTATAAATAGGATTCTATGGACGTAGTTTTAAATACACCATTACATTGAGCATTCATTCTTTTCTTACAATTCATTTTTCTCTCATTCTCATAACATTCCTTTGTAAAGGGAAAATTTCGTCGAAGTTTCTCCGTTCTTGTGGTTTGAAGTGCTGTTACCACAAGTGTGTATTTATCGTATCTTGGGAGACATTTTCCATTCAACCATGAACACTGTAACGAGACAATTTGTCTTAAGGAAAGAGTTATACTCACATCGAATTTCTTTTTCTACTCCTTATTTCATTTTGATTTTGTGTGGTTGTTTTAGTCACATACTTTGTGTCTTTACATTGTGTTCTAATTACACTCTTGCGGGTTGAAACTTTTGCTTACAATAATAGTGTTTCGACTACACTCCTAAGGATTGAAATTTTGTTCATTTACAACATATACAATCGTTATACCACTAAAATAAATACCCGGAACAACAATTTATATATAGGATAGAATTCCTTGTGAAACAAAGAGTGAAGCATAGGCCTAATTTTAAATGTCATGTTTCATTGGCAAGTGTGTCTCATGGTTTGATTATGGTAGGTTATCTTCCATGAACTTGTTCAACTAGATTTCCTTGTAGAGATTACAAAAGAAAATTTGCCCCTGTTTGAGCCCCATTTTTTCTAAAACTCATTTTTTTGAAAATTCATTTAACAATTACACATTCTTTAACAAAATAATTTTTTGCGTAAATCAAAATTTTTTTCTTATTTTTAAGCCACACATTCTTTAAAAAAAATAATATTCCAAAATACAATTTTCTCCAAAATGGGGCTCAATCAGGGTACTTGATTCCGAAGGATGGTGTGCTAATTTCCAAAAACTGATAAGATATTTAACTTATCCAAGACTTACTTTCTTAAATATGCAAGTGTGAGTTCAACTGCCATGCTTCTTGAAAGCATTCGATAGGTAAGACTGCGTTTGGTTTGGTGTTTTCAGGCCATTTTTGGTTTTTGAAAATGCGGAAAATGTGTTTGATCCGTTGTTTTCGGAGAAAACTAAAAACCGTTTTAAAACCGAAAATGGAAAATAGAAAACTAAACCAAACGCAGCTCTAGTGTTTGCCTGTGTCGCGGTCTCGTGCAAATACTAGAGAAAAGATGACAATAATGTCGGTGAAAGCATGTAGGTTAGGGACTTTTCGCTTAAAATAACTAAACTCGTCATTTTAGAGCCTCAATAGCTGCACATATGAACTCGCGCTAAAAAACATTATTTAGCAAAATTTGATGAACTCTCTCAGTTTCAAAATTTTTATCTAAAATATTATTAATTTTATCCAAACTCGTCATTTCAGAATCTCAATAACTGCAAAAATGAACTTGTGCTAACAAACATTGTTTAACAAAAATTGTTGAAATCTCTCACTGATGCCATGTCAAAATTTCATTCAAAGCAATTATTAATTTTATCTGATCAAAGGTTAATTCTCTATTCAATACGATACATAAGGGTTTAGACTCTTCATTTTTTTATTTTTTTTTTAACAAAATTGAACTTTTATGATAAAACTCAAACTTAATATGGTATCAAAACTTATTAAACTTACAAAATCAATTGATAATCGTATTATAAGATTGATGTCCTTAAATAAACCATCATATTCCATTTAATGTTAACTCGTAAAATCATGTATTGATTATACGTGAAAATTTTAATAACTAATATAAAAGGGCTTAAACTACTACTTTTAACATTAATGTTGACCTTTTAAATGAACCCTAGTCTCCTATATGTTTTAACATTTAAGAGGTTGTTCTATCCATCTGAAAGTTCAAATGAATAGCTTATTCCAAAGCGAGTATTCTAAAAAAGAGTATCTTCTGTAAACAACTAATTATAAATATTTTAAAGTAGTGATTTTTCGTTATGCCACAAACCTGAACATAATTTTGTGACTGCACTAAAATTGAGCACTTGTTTGACAATCCTTTTTTTTTTTTTTTTCCTTTTTCAAATTATAAGATGACGAATATCATAAATATGTAGTTAAAAATAAATTAAATACACTATTAAAATTGAAATATAGTCAACTTCTAATCTCAAAATAAATAGGGGCTGTATGTGGAACATTGTATCATACAAGTTTAACAAGAGTAATAAAAGTAAAATGTCATCAATGACACATAAAATAGTCAACTTTGTGCTAGTCAGCCTACCCAATTCGATGTCTTGCGAAATTCTAACAATACTGATCTCTATTAATGCATTTAAATTAATTATCTTCTGCAACCTTAAAATTATGAACATTTAAACCACTGCGTTCACACACACACACACACACTTATCATGTTTTCATAAATAATGCTACCTAACAAGGGTAATATTAAGCACCGATTTAGATGATAGTGAAGGCTTACTTTAATTATCCAATAAATCAAAATGTATCACGAAGTTTATTAAAGAAGTAAATGTTAAACCCCGTGGTTACACTCACCTAGACTCATGACATATCTATTGGAAAATTGAATCAATAGACTCTAGTGAGTCTTAAGAGCTAAGTGATAGCGGTGCACACAACATTATTCACCGATGAATTCAATATGTACACAAGAGACATGATGAAGAAAATATGTAAATCAATAAATGTCTTTATCTAATAATTTAACTTTTTCAATGATAGTCGAATACGTAGATATGTATACACTTCTCCTAATTTGACATTTCACCATCGTAGGTTAGGACAGGTAGTATATGTGAAATCAACACTAACATAATACATTTTTGACATATCGAAACATCATCTTTTCTTAACAATATGAGAAGCGGTTTGGATAGCAAATTTGGGCTCTATATAACGATTGAATTATATTTTATGCAGTTGACATTAAACTTTCATGTAACCTAATTATTTAAATATATAATACTAAAAATTTAAGGAAGAATGAGCATGATATTCATCTCAATTTTTTCTTAAAAGTTGAGAAAAACATAAACTGCAAGCAATAAATGCACGCTGTCTTCATTGTCATCAATGGCTTCTGCCATTAACGTTATCGTTTACTGCACCAAACTACCTTTACCTACCACAGGACAAAAACTCAGAAAGACAAATACCAAAATTAAGAAAGCTACCCCAGAATTCTGATATTTATAGTCCCTCGAAATCCTAAAGCAGCCCATATGACGATGGTCGTGGTGGCTGAAGTTGTGCTCATTTTCAATCAAACCTCGAACAGATCGAAATTCCTCGACATCGCAAGGAAAAGTAATTGTGCCCTTTTGATTAAATCCATATTATTCTTCTGCTTCTTTGAGCAACTGCATGAACAGTGGGTGATTGAAGTAAATCACAGGAATTACAAATCTCTGCTGCTCTTCTCCTTGCCCAACCATGACCGCCAAACACCCTTTTGGCACATCTTTCACTTGTTGATTCTTTCCACCATTATGGCGGTGCTGGTGGATCAGGTGGAGGTGTTTGTGCAGAAGACTCTTTTCGCCGCCGCCGCCGTCGCCCATATCAACTGAAGGAAAGCAAAACAATCAAGAAATGCAATCCCCCTTATTTTTGCTGTTGTCAAATGTTTACTGCTGCAGAAGAAGAGAGAATGGTGTAGAGGAGTTGGTGAGTTACCAGGGAACCTGGAAAGTTGGTTATAGGTTTAGAACTCTGACATTAATAAATACATAGGAAAATTAATCAGATAGATTCACAAATGTTTCCCAACACACAGAGTTATATACAGGTTATGTACGTATTTATAAAAGCGGAAATTGTGATAGTCTGATCTGTTTTTAATTATTTAATGAATTAAAACATAGGAAATATTACGAAGATCTCCTCTAAAGTATCTGATATTTTCAAAGATACCCTTTCCCTTTAAAAAATTGAATAAACCTCCTCCTATATGGAGTTTTGAATGACATATATATCTCTTATTCGCTTTTATTTTACATGTTAGAATATATAGTTGTTCTAAAATAATCTTATGAATTTTCTTTCATCTTGTGACTCCTTTAATAATAATGTGATACCATACACTTTTAACACTTCTAATTAAATTAGCAACAAAATATTTCTTAGCCAGTCAACTCTTCAAAAATGTATCTATGGATACCTTAATTTGAGGAGTTCAAATACGCTTAATTTTATGGCAAATTAGTGAGCTAGGTTCATTTCAAGTTATTGAAGCAATATCTTGGAATAGAATGATGTATGTGACGATTATAAAAAATAAAATGCATTGGACCAAAATTTTTCTTCATATATATTTTAACTGAAAACAATTTTCATCACATGCATCGATAATTCTTGAATTAAGTCAAGATAGGCTATCAAAATTATTTAAAAATTTCAAAGATTTTCATGATAAGTTTGTTTGAAATCTTAAAGTGTTCTCATTTCTTTTCCATATATGTAAATGTATTTTTGAACACTTCAAATTAAAGTATTGTGTTGATGTATTTTTGAAGAATTGATAAATTAAAAAAATATTTTATTTTTGATTTAGTTAGAAGTATTAAATGGTTCAATATTACAATAGTGTTAAAGGAGGCACAAGATGAAATAAAGTTTATTAGAGTATTTTAGGCACTACCCGTTGATACACTAAAAGTACAGCCCAAATCAAATAGCCCAAAGAGTGAAACCCAATTGGGGAATCCAGAATAAAGATCCAAACAGGATTATTGATGAATGCAGTGGAAGTCCACGAATACGGTAACATCATCGCCCAATCTTGCAAGACGCCCAGAATCTGAGCGAATAGCATACCTTACGGTTGCCCAGAGCGATGACCACGTTCTCGCCCAAACTTTCGAATCGCCCAGGATCTTAGCAAGCATAAAACATTATAGTTATCCAGAATAGCAGTTCTTGAAGCAGTTATTGAGTGATCTTATCACATTTCACGATTCAAGGAGCCCATTTGAAGGCTGTTGAACGACAAAGAGTAATGACGACAGTTAGGGACGGCAGCTCCACGACAAGTTAGCCACTATAAAGAAAGTGGGTAGTTATACAGCAATCAAACAGTTTTCAAACGGTTTGTCACGAAAAAATCATCAAAGGAATATAAAAGGAAGAGAAGACATAGAAAAAAAGACCCCGAATCAAATACTCTCAAACAGAGAATATGTAATTTCAATTTCTTAGTTTAAACTTAAACATTTCTTTTAGTACTCGTGTGCTTGTGCCCCTTGGAAGCATTCTGTTTAGTTCCAATTGTAAACATTGCCAATAAAACACCCCTTTTTGGGACTTTGTCTCAAGAGGTCTATTCCTTACACAATCGTCTGATCCTTTTTTAATTGTTAGCGAATACTTGCGTGAAACAATTTGGCACGTCCAGTGGGACATTGGTGTTTGGTATTGAAAATACAAAAAGTGAAACAATATGCCTCACAAATTTGATAACGAAGCAGCAAGTCAGGGAGGAGTCCAGTCTGTAATAGAGCGATATGAGGAGCAGCAAAAATCTCCACGAACAGAGGGACGAGTCAGAGCAGTCACAATTGTTACGAACCAATGACAGAGTTGAGTCCTCGAACCATGCGTGCATTGCTTGGAGAACTCACACTGGATGTCGTTGAACAAGTAAATCTACGAAATGTTCATAATATGGAAAGATTTACCCAGAATGGGAATGCACATTATGACAACATGACCAAACAATTGAATACATTAAATGAAATAATGAATAAGTTAGTAGGCCAAATTTGTCAGGCATTTGTGCCTATTGCAAATCACTTTCAAACTAGGACAATCGTGGGACATAATTCCTCAGTCCTAAGTCCAAATCAGGGGATAGAACCACCTTTCGGTCCATCTACTTCAAACCAGGGGGATGGTGTAAGGCCAAATCAGAATAGTGATAATGGTACATTTAACTTGGGGGGTAGCCTAAATATAAGAAACAATGTCCTAAATAATGGACAGAATACCCCACGTGTCAATGATGGAATAAATATTCAGGTTAATGGCAACAATGACCCAAATCATGGCAACTTTGTTGCTAACCAAGGACCAAACATCCGGCCTCAGGCAAATCAATCGACCAACCAACCTGTAGAAATTCCATATGACCTCAACGTCATGTTGAGAAATCTAATTAGGAAAATAGTACAGGATCAAATGGCTTTTGGGGTACGTACTGTCATTAGGTCGACTTACACAAAGACATACCCTAATTGGGTAGACCAAGCATACCCACAGCCTAGAGGGTATAAAGTGCCAGAATTCTCATTATTTATCGGTTTAGAAGAGGTGTCTACTCTAGAACACATAGGGTGATTCACACTACAAAGTGGTGAAGTAACCGACTACCATAAAATGAGGTTGCTCCCTAGTTCATTAACAGGAGTAGCTTTCTCTTGGTTTATCAATTTGCCAGCGAACTCTGTTCAAATATGGCAACAATTGGAGCAATTGTTCCATGCTCTGTTTTATAAGATTGAGTTTGAAGTTACTCTAGCCGATTTGGCGAATCTATATCAAATGCCAAACGAATGGGCAAAAGGTTTCCTTCAAAGATTCAAGACAGTAAGAATAAATGTTTTGTACCTTTGCCCGAAAAGGAGTTTGTTAAAATCGCTCAAAGTTGTCTAAACTTTGATTTGAAAAAGAAATTCTAAGACTAAGAATTTCCTGATCTTTTCCAATTGAGTGCAAACGTGATTAGGTATGAACGATTAATAAGATAAGAAGAGCAAAGGAAAAATTCTAACAAGGGGACTTATTATAAAGACCCAAACTTTGATGTTCATACCATTAATGACGAGTATTACAATCAAATCGAAATGTGTTTAGCCGAATTAATCAAAGGAGAGGCATATACTTGTCCTATAATAGCTAAACCTAGATCGTGGGGCAAGAATGAACCTATAAAAGATGAAAACAAAAAGGCTAGAACGTTCTCGTTCGACGTAACCAAAACTGACCTTATATTTGATAAACTATATAAGGATAAGCAAGTAAAACTGAGTGATAAACATAAGTTGCCAAGCCCTGAACAAATCAAGGGTAAAAAATATTGTAAGTGGCATAATGCGTGGTCGCATTTGACTAACAACTGTTTGGTTTTTTGCCATATGTTACAGGACGCCATTGAATCAGGACAATTATGTTCGAGGATAAGAAGAAGATGGCAGTGGATGAAAACTCTTTTCCACAGCCACTTGGGGTGAACATGGTGACGACTGGTTTAAAAAACAAGTTGTCAAAATTCATGTTGGTTATAGATGATGGAGAAGAGGACCATGGGCCACACCCCAGTGTTTTTGAACGTATCAAAGGGAAGGAGCCTAAAAAGGATGAAGACGTCCTATGTGCAAGATGTAAAAGAAAAGTGAGGGCAAATACAGAGAAACCAGGGATATGGCAGTATCACCATCGCCCTAATTTTTCCCCAAACGCTCAGCCTGGTAGAGGGCGAGGTACATCATCCTATAGGGGACCGCCTTTTGAGAGGCAGTTCAGGTCAATAAATAATAGGAGAACATTCAGATCGCGACCTCGCCAACCAAATGTATGACATTCGTTCCAGTATAATGCAGGAAGGGTGATACCCTTCAACGAGATGACTAGAACCCAATAAAGGCATTTTCAACGGAATTATGGACGAATGATGAGGCAACAACAGGGAGTGCCACGTCCTAAGGTGCCTAAACTACTCGAGATTGCCAATTAAAATGTTCTTGAAGATAGTGAGGAGATTGGTACATGTAAATCGATGGAAGAATTGTCAGAGAGTTCTTCTGGGAGATCGAAATTTGAGCGAGGCAAAAGCGTTGGAGAAGATCCAGATCAGGCCCTTACTATTCAGTTTGGTACGTTACCTCCTGTCATAGCTAATAACTATTTACTAGTCAATGAGTTCAAGAACAAAGAAAAAGAAGAAGAAGAGAGGGAGGATAACAAGAAAGAGGCATGTGTGATGGAATGTGAAGAAGGCCAAACTTCTAGAAGGGCCTACAATGGTGAAGAGGATGATGGTATGACAGACATCGAAGAGGAAATTGATCTGGAAGTAGAAAGAAGAAAGAGAGGAGTATCGCACAATACTCTGTTAAAGTAACTACATCGAGAGGGAGTTCGTGAAGTGGACTTGTTGGGAGAACCGTCTGGGCGTTCTTTCGATTATTACGTGCTGTACGGGACGCCCAAGAGGAAAAAGAGAGTACCTCGCTATGAAAAGTATGGATCACCTCCAAGAATAATGCCTCCTCCCGCAGGTTGGGTAATCGAAGAAGAAGCATTAGAAAACAATAAAAAGGAAATTCAGGAAGCGGAAGCTCAGTGCGACATACTGCACGTTGACTTATCATAAAAGGATAATTCAACAGAGAATAGGCAGGAAGTGGAAATAGATGCTGCCGAAAAGGTTATTTTTAAGAGACCAGCCATGAAGCTAACTAAACACTTGAGACCATTGTACGTTAAGGCTTTGGTTAACGGTATACTTGTGGCGAAAGTACTTATCGATAATGGAGCAACTATAAACGTCATTCCATCTATGATGATGAGGAAATTTGCAAAGACAGAAAGTGATGTGATTCCAACAGAAGTCATCCTTACAAATTTCAATGGAGGAGTAACTTCAGCTAAAGGGGTTATGCCATTGGACATAACTGTAGAGACAACAACTAGGACCACAGTCCTCTTCGTAATAGATGGTCATCCTAGTTACAATGTGTTATTAGGAAGAGATT